TCAACACAGATACGATTGGCAAGAGGAAGAGGGCGGAGTTTTAAGGACATGACAACGATGTCTCGTTAAAGGCGCGACTAAAAAGTGGAAGGAAGGAGTAACATCTCTGGCATTTATAGAAATTTTGCACAACAGCACCGCCGACATAAAACGAAGAAGATAACTCTAAAATTGCATCAGAACTTTCAATGACTTTGTACTTTAAGTTTACGAGCTCTCAATTTCATTCATACTTTTTATTACGATCTATAAACAAACATTTTAGGTCTTTTGGGGACAGAACTTAACTATTAGATCTAAAATAGTGATAGTTTTGTGATGGTTTTTTGGAAAAAACGAAACATTAAATAAAGATGTAAGATAAAGACATTAGATAAAGATTAGCAGAATATTTCCCATCAATATGGTACCGAAAAAATAAAAATAAGGTTGATTAACGAATTGTGCCTGTAATCTCCCACTAATTTTTTCCATGTAGGACTAAACATGGGATGAGATGAGAAAAGGGGCCAATAAGCTTGATGGATACAGATATATGTGCCCTGCCCCCCTTTTGAGCGCGCACCCAGTCACATTTAGCATGAATGTCGCCTTTGCATAACAAATGTTAGCAACATGTTTCAATAATGAGCCCGTCCCACTGTACAGTAATCCCCCCCTGGCAGCCACTGATGAGCTGCCATGTTGCACGATTGAGACATGCATTGCACCCCACTAAAGCCACCCCCCTGTGCCACACCCCTGCCCACCGAATATTCCCAGCCCCCGGCCTTCCCTTTTGGAATGCTTGGACAGCGTTTGAGTTTTGGATCTGAACCGGGCACCAAATTAATCGTTTCCACTGTGCGGTTAGAATGTCGCCTCACCCATTGTCCCCGAAAACAGCCCCCCTCAAAGCCTTCCCACTACGCCCCTTTTGTGACCCCCCTTGGAGCGTCGAGTGTATGCGCCTCATTTGTTATGGCCATTTGCATAAATAAGTCACTGGCACTGCCAGTTGGGACCGGCTTTGGATGGACGGGGTGACACAGGGGCGTAGAAGGGGCGTCGGTGCCCAGTGGTTTCAGGGGGGGATAAAGTCCGTCGGTTGACGGAGATTGTGTGAATAACTTGATGAACGCTTCGCCGGAGGAGTGAATTCTGTTGTTCGCTGATTTGTTGGGCTGTTTGCATTTATTTATCCTCCTTTTGGCCGGCACTTCTTAAAAAGTTGACAAATTTCAAAAGTTATAGTGCTCTTTAGGGACTAAGATATTATTTAAGTGGTTCCGGGAATTGGGGGTGTCAAACCACAAGTACTAATAGAGAAGTTGGTAAAAAAAGCATGGACAGCGGAGTTTTTAAAAATGCAGATGTATCGGATCGTAATTCGCTTTCAAATTCTGTTTAACTTATCTTGGTTTGAAGCTTAAAAAGTTATTAAGTTTCGCTACAACTTAGTTAATTGATCTTGGGATTACTTCCGGTAGTTTGAGGACTGCTCCGTACTATCCTTGCAGTTCTAGATTAAAACTAAAATCCTGTGAGTAATAAAACAGCTATTTATACCCATCTTATTTATTTTCCGAGGGGGGAAAAATAAAGTTTAAGTCCAAACAAAAGCAAACAAAGGGAGGACACGAATGGTCCTTCGTCCTTTCCTTTCTCTCTGTCTCTCTCTCTCCTTGTGTCTACCGCTTGGCCCCTATCACTTTCTTCTTCACTTTCTCCACACTTCTCAGTTTCAGGGATGCGTGACAATATGCCGTTTAATTATACGTCACGACCCTTCTCCTCTGGCCCTCATCCTTTGTTTCTGTTGCTGTTGTTGCGATATCGCACACACATTTTAAAAGTCAATTATCCGCACATAACGCACATCGTTGAGGGGGCGTGAAAGGACGATCGGGGGTGTGGCAGCCCATCGTCCTTGCCACGCGTCAAATTTGGCGCGTTTACATTTTTCGCCCTCATCGGCTCCCCTTCAGCTTCCTTTTCTCTCTGCACTCTGAGGAAAAATGTTTACTTAAATTTATAAATTAATTATTAGTTAGTTTTTTGTGAATATTAACATTTTTAAAACTAGACTGCCTTGAAAATTAGAAAACAGATAGCCCTGGGCTCAGACATTTTAAAACTTCCAAGGCAAAATAAAAAGCATATTTAACAAATTTTCCTAAAATGTACGGGATTATTTCCTTACTTGAAAAGCTGGTTATTTAGTTCTTTGCAATACAAAGTTTCCTGAAATCTAGGGACATTTTTTTCAAGTGCTTAAACTTGCTCATTGAGAGAAAGCGGGGAAAAAAGTTTATTACTTTCAGGAGACGACTCCTTGGCATGCGAAACTGTCGGAGGAAAAAATAAAGAGGAGCCAAGGAGGCGAAGGATGTCCTGGCAAATTGAATTACATGAGACATGAGACGGGTAACGAAGAAAACGAGCCATAAGACTTCGATACTAAACCGATAATAACATAATCAGCCCACGCCTGCCCCTTTCCAACCGATTTGCCGCCGCCCATGACCAACTATAAAGTGAGCTTTAGTTACCGTTAACAAGCCAAGTGGCTTGCTTCAGGTTTTTCCCCCCAATTTTCCCAGCTCCATCTCCTCCGCTCGATTGATAGTGGGGAAAAGTTGGCGAGTTGAGCTGGCCAGCCGAGTTTTCCGTTGTCTTCAGTCAGTCAAAAGGGGCCACACTGATCAGCAGGTTTGAGAAAAATGCGCTGAGTGATGTGGTACTTTTTTGTTTTCCTTTATTATTATATCATTTAGTTATACATACCAATATTTTGCATACAAACTTATTACTTTAATATTTATAAAGTGTGTATTTTATTTTAAAAAAAAGTTGTCATAACTTCCTTGTAAAAATCATACACATTCTGGAATTTTATTTTGTGCATGTTTAGTGTATAGGTACTTAAACAGAATAGGTACTTGCCTGAAATTTAATCAACCAACTGACTAGATGCTTTCCCATTACCAACACCCATGTAGGTCAGTGTAATTGTTCAATACTTTCCTTGAAGTGGTACGTGCATGTGGGAGGGCCACCTTGTTGTGCCCACTGAGGCGAAAGGAGGCATTGCCGTGTAATTGGCAACAATTTGCATAACAATTCAGCGACTGTTTTGCATAAGTCCTGCGACGATGCAACATAATAACCAGAGGGAGGATGCCAGGGAGGGATGCTGGGGCGGGGCAGAAGTACAGCACTTACGTACACATTAGAAATTCCTTCTTTTCGAGGCTGCAAGGACATCAGAGGCCTCCTGGCAGAGGCAATTATGTGCTTCACATACACGACGACGACTCCTTTTCCCAGCTCCACTCCCGCACTTTTCCATCCATTTTCCTCGCAGCTTCCACCCGCTCTTAAGGATCCTTTCAAGACAGCCTGCTGCCTCGTAAAAGTCGCTGCCGGAAATGCAATGGCAAAAGCTGCTGGAAAAAAAAGCGGAAAACCGAAAAGAAATCTCGGCCTGAGCTACAAAATGCAACCATTTCTTCTCGACTTTAGTATTTTCCTTTTCTTCAACCACACATACGCACACTTCTCTTGGAGAGTTATCAAAATTGAACACTTTTTTTAATATTATTTTGTTGAAAATGAAAAAATTTGCATTCCGTTCCACTGCTGAAGATGTTTATAAGATCCACTTTAATAATGTGGAGTGCTTGATTTCTGGCACGCCTTCTCGGCACTCGCTCCCATTTCGTTGGCGAGAAATTGCATCATAAGAAATTAAAACTTAAGCACAAAAGAAGTTTTCCACGATGAGTTTTCCCCATGCATTTATACCATAAAAAAGGATTGCTGCAGATGGACAATTTTGTAAAGCCAAATTTAATAATACACAAAAATCATATATGTATTTTATTTCCTTTATGAATAATATTTTTTCAACTGTTTAACATTTTTTTATAGATAAGAAGAATTTCTTATGTCAAACCTACATCCCAGTATTTTCTACGAAATAGAAAATGAAATGTATCGCGGATATATTCACCAGCTCCGCGGCTATTACGCTTGATTGAGTTTTTCCATTTGGTTTTAGCCAGTCAATCTGGCATTTCCCCTCCCTAGCCAGTCATCAAGGTAACGCCAGCCATGTTAAATTAATAAAAATGTAATGCCCAAGACAAGACCCCAGGCACCAGAGTCCGGCACAAGAATTGGGCTAATAAATTTACAAAAATGAGTTCGACGCTTAATTTGCCATGAGCATTTTTCATTTTATTTCGCGCCGGCCTCGGAACATGGCTTTTAAGCCCCACCAAAATGAAATCGAGGGAAAGCCGAGGGAAAACCCAACGGCAGAAACACACACACAGTAGTGAAAACATGGAAAACAGAAGGCGAACGAAAATGAAAATGAACAACAAGCTGAAGTGAGTCGAGGAAAATGTTGGGGGGAGGGGAAGCTACTTAACGAAAACAAGTGAGGAGAAATTTATTTCCCAGGATCTCAAGAGCACGGACTGCGGGATGCTCAGCTTTGTATGGGAAATCTTGTGCTAAGAAGTATTTAATCAGGATTTCACTTAAGAAATTTAGGCAGAAATGCCAAACATCCTGGTATTCCAGTTTTAAGATCTTTGAGTATTTCTTAATATTTTTTGAAGATAAGTCCAAAAGTATAGACTAAAAAGATTTTGTTTATGTTTATTTTTGAGATTTTCCTATTAAAAACATATGTAGGTTTTCGTGTTTCCCTTCTCCAATAACAAATTCAACCATTTCCATTTGCGACTACCCTACCTGACCATCAGAGCATTAACTTCACAATAATACGTAAATATATGCGTACTGACGTTTATATAAAGATAAACAAATATAGAAATAAATAAATATAAAAAATGTGTGTGCAGCTGCTGTAAGTCAACAAAAAATGCTCGCAGTTAATTTACATAAAGTAAAAGTTTTCTCCCGCAGTTCCCATACTTAATAAATCGCTTCCAGTTTTATTCACAACTCATTGCTTATTTTCTCTTTGATTCTTTTTTTACTTTCAGCTTGGACTTTCGACCGAGTCGGGGAATTTACGATTTGCAAATCAAGAATACTTCTTATAATCGGGATAATGGACGCTTCGAGTGCCGAATCAAGGCGAAGGGCACTGGTGCGGACGTCCATCAGGAGTTCTACAATCTGACCGTGCTGACGGCCCCGCATCCGCCGATGGTCACCCCGGGAAATTTGGCAGTGGCCACCGAGGAAAAGCCACTGGAGTTGACCTGCAGCAGTATTGGCGGTTCACCGGATCCCATGATAACGTAAGGGAATTTCGAGTTTTAGAAAAACATTGAATTTATAAGTTTTTTCTGCTTTATTAAATGCTAAAGTCACTATAATTTTGATGGTGCCTAAAACGATGCAACGAAAACTGGCATAATGAACTAATCAGACATCGGAATTAGAATTATTATGTTGCATTCCTTTAGACGCTTTCTGTGCTTATCCCGATTGTCTCACATTTTCAGATCATATTTTTATTATATATTTAGGAATGGCCTTCCCTTGCCTTGCTTGAATTTAGAAACCACTTCCTTCCCCAGCTGCATCATTTTTCCATATCTTCCCTTTGGTTTTGTGGCAAAGTAAATCACTTAACGGACGGTCGCCTTCATTAATAATCCTTCTCCGGCACATGGTGGCCATTCCTCTTCGCTTCTCCCCTACTTTTTGGCACTAAATCGTGGCTATCACTTGTGTATTTTTTGCAGCTGGTACCGGGAGGGCAGCACAGTACCGCTGCAGTCGTATGCGCTGAAGGGCGGTTCGAAGAACCACTATACCAACGCCACCCTGCAGATTGTTCCCCGACGGGCCGACGATGGCGCCAAGTACAAATGCGTCGTCTGGAATCGTGCCATGCCCGAGGGTCATATGCTGGAGACCAGTGTTTCGCTGAATGTCAACTGTGAGTAGCTGGGTTTTTGGGCTTGCACGTCAAAAAATATCACTTATTATAGATATATCAACAAGAAATCTGGGTTTTTTCTACATAAAATGCATACAAACCCAACATATAAAATGCATAAAAAGAAATATACAAACTATTTTGATATTCACAGGAATATCTACGATTAAATAACGTAAATATTTCACTGAAAATTGTAACTTCTTGACTCTCTCTTTTCCAAAAAAAAAAAAATCTGAAATAATCAAAAAGCTAGATAATCCGTTAAATCATGTTTAAGAGGTTTAAATATATATTATAAATTTAAAAAAATATAAATATTCAAACTATATTTTTGTTAAACTTTAATCGAATAAGTGCAGTATTTATCTCTGTGTTTTTTTTGTTGGGTTGGTGGTTTGCCCTGATGAAGTTAAATTGGTAGGTCAGTCTGGGTCACAGCGGCAAAAAATACGATTTACGGCTTGAGGCTGAAGAATATTTAAAAATACCAGAAAAAAAATGAAGCCTGTATGAATTTGGCTGGTGAGCTGGTTTTCCCAAGTGCCCATTACACTTTTGACTAATCTTTTTGTCAAAAAACCATTTAAATATGCAAAGTATACTACACATAAAATAATTTTTACAATTTCCACAATTGGATTGCATAAGCATCAAGCACTTAAATGCAATTTCTCAATAAAATGACTCAAATGGGCAATCAAAGGTTTGGCTTAATTTAAATAAAATTAAGTTTTGCTTGAATATAAGAAAATATCAAACTTAATTAACCTGCACTTCGATTAAAGCAAATAAATCTCTCTACCTCAAGAAGTTGGCCGTAGGTAAGTCAAGTGTTTTCCCAGGGAAGGCCGACCGACCAACTTGTTTTCCAATTCTCATCCTTCATTTTGGCCATTTCTTTTGTAATTAAAGTTTGGCAACTGCGTTATGGGAACACGTGTTGTTGTCGCACGATCAACGTGACCGAAAAGCCAAGCAGATGACACGAGACACATAAAGTGTCTGCCGCCCCGAAAACACTCCACCAAAAGGCCACAAACAACCACTTGATTGTTAGTTATTGGACCACAACAACTGAAATCTGCTGCAGAATGACCGGAGCATCAACTTGTCATATTAGTTGGCAACTTTAGCCCCCTCCTGGCCCCAAAAACATCATAACACATTTGAGGCGGATATTAAATTTTCGGGACAACGCGGCGTATGCGCAATCTACTTGTCACCGCGCGCTGCATTTAATAAAAATCACTAGCAATGACATGTTACGGAATCTGCATAAAATTTATGCAATCAAATAAAGTAACAAACTAGCAATAAATGGCACAAAAAAATAGGAATATATATTTATTCAGGGGGCGGTTTGGGTGAGGTGGAGGAGGCTAAAGTGGAGTAGAGCCGAGTTGCCACAAATATATTCATAGGAAAACATAAATTGCAGTCATTTTTATACACGCCGGATTTGTAGCCGCAAAAGCAGACAACAAGAACAACTCATATATGTTTATATATATGAATGTCTCCTATAAATATGTGCTCTGTGTGTGCAATTCAACCAGCGTCGTCAGCGTAACAAATATTTATAGTCTTTTCTGTTTGAAAAATAAAGAAGAGCAAGTCGGTTGAAGAACCGGGATTGGAGTTCGCTTATAGACTAACTGGTACTCATTAAAAAATAATATACAAAGGTGTGACTGAAAACCTTAACTTTCTAACCAAGGAAAAGTGAAAAGGGTTGTTATTGTAAATAGTAAAATTCCTTGGGCTATAAAAGAGAGATGATCCTAAATAAAACCGCAATGTTATTAAATAACAAGATTGTGTAACGACTTTAATATTGGTTAAACATGATATTTAACACGTTTTGCTAAGCCCCCGAAAATGTACAGATTACAGGGTAGCATACAGCACGAACCTGGCTAAACAGACACCAAACAGCACAAGAATAAATGACAACAGGCAAGTGTTTGAAGAAAAGGCAGCAGTGCGGGGAATCCCGAAAGTAGAACTCCCTTTATGGCTGCAGCAGGCGTGGCAAATGCAATTTTTCGGCGTGTGCCAGGACGAGTTGCTGCTATTTATGGGGCTCATTTAAAATCCATTAGCAGCCAGTCAGCCCCATGACTGTTTGCCCAACATACGAAGGCCCCCGAGTCCTGTGTACTGAGTCCCGGGTCAAAAGCGGGCCTCCAAGGCGCATTTGTGTGGAGGGAGCCTCCGCCTCCGGGCTTGGCAAGTTTCAACAGCAGCAGCGGCCACATCAACAAACTTTGGCCAGCGATTTGCGAGACATTCGACAAGAACAATTGAATTTGCAGCGGCGTTTCGGCTTTTCAATGGCTTCCAAAACGGCCTGCAGGCGATCCATAAAGGCCGAAATTCAAAATGCAAAATTCAAAATCCATGGCAGACATCCAATCCAATACAGTTTGAGAGCCATTGTTGGAGGAGCGCCTGCGGGCGAACGGCAATTTGTGTCCCTAGATTGTGTGTCCTGTATTAGCTGGCTAATTTTGATGGCCCAACTATGGCTTTAAGTTTGGGGAAATTCAGGATCTCATGGGATGGGGGAAATAATCAAAAGTATGTGTTAGTTTAGGATACTTTTGCCATTTTTATTAAAGATATAGTTAGGGCAAAACATATGAATCTTATTTTTATTTTATTTTATTATTATTATTATTTTTTTTATTGTTACTTATTTTGTTTCTGTTATTTAATTTTTGATAAATGATGTTGGGATAAAAATTAAAATTATATATCTCTTTTAAAGTAAAAAACTAAAAATCTGTTTGTGATTCTTATACATTTTTTGCAACACTTAAAGTGTACGATTACAGCTTCCAAATTAGCCTTCAGCTTTTAGCGAAGCATATTCAATCATTCTTATTTTCCTTTTTCCATCACCATCACCCGAAAAATTGTGCTAGTGGAAAATCAGACATCACGTTCTAATTTTCCTCATTTTTCTTTCCCCAAAAAAACAGTTTGACAATCACTGGACGACAGCTGCATTGAGACAGATATGAATGCGAGGCAAAGACGACGTTGTCTCATGATTGTGATTGTGATTGATAAGCAATTGATGGTACCAGACGAAGAAGAAGGGAGAAAGTCAGAGTAGAAAGTAGAAAAGGAGAATGCGAAACGGGGAAACTGCAGCTGACAAATGGCAGGGCAGTTTTTTAATTGAAAATGTTTGCATGGATTCTTGAAAGCGCTGCCAATGTCATTCGATTCATATGTGTCGTCCTGCCATCTCTTTCTTTCTCTAACCATGCCGTCTCTTTCTTCTGTTCTTCCCCTGAGTAAACAGTTGTGAACAACAGATTGGAACTTGAGTGGCTTGCAAAATTTGAGTTTTGTGTTATAGCCTAATTTAATGAATATCATTTTTAACCGGTAGTCTTGTATATGAAATTTTCATTTTAAGAAAGATTTCAAGGGATGGCAGAGATGGAAACCTGGCTCTCACACTATTTTTCTGGTCCCTGTTGTATATATAGCAACATATATCTGAGTTTTCCGACTCGCTTTGTTTGCTTCACTCTACTCGCTGTTTGTGTGTGTGCATTGCGTGTTGTGCCTGCATTTGATTGATTTATGCCAGAAGCTACAAAAAAATAAAAATAAATTAACCCGAAAGACAGGAAAAAAATTGAGAGAGAAAATTGGAGGAAAAAAAGAAATATGTATATATTTTTTGGGAAAATAAACTCCCAATGCGTCATGTTGTCAGCGAGGCGACGACTTCTCGTCGACCGTTGAGTGTTTTATAACGTGCGAAAAGCCCCAAATGAAATTATTGAAAATGTCTCTGGCCCGCGCGTTTTGTGTTTTGCCTAGATGGATTCAGAAAAAAATGCGGCTTCAAAGAGTGCGGCTTTGTGGGTGGCACTGGGTGGCTCTCAAGTGGGCGGCAAGGCCATCAAATTGCGCATACGCAACGTGGCCACGCATAGACAAAACACGGGGCGCCACCACCACCGCCTTGTCAACTTGGCACAGTTTGCTGCACACGTGAGAGGCACGTTCCATCTTGCAGTGGAACCCACCTGTGCGGCTAGGTGGGCTTAGCAAATGCAATCTCCCACCTGGAAACCTGAAAACCCGAGTCCTCCCCCCCCCACACACAGGTGTGTCGTACTGCACGTGACTTCTGTTCAGTTGCATGCACCGCACGTAATAAACCTTTGCCATGCCTCCGCCACCCAAATAAATCCCCACACTTTTCATACGCGGCGAACGCGGAATTTCAGAATTTTAGGGGGTATTACGAGTCGAAGGGTATCTGAAATTCAGAAGAGTTTGGTCTAGGAAACTTTGGAAACTTAGTGAATCATTTATTATAAAGTTCAAAATATAAACACCGCAAAAAGTTTTCTTAATATAGCCTAAAATATTATAGGACCCTTTTGATATATGCTTTGGAAATAGGTTAAAAACATCGACTTTCGTAATGAATCGGTGGATTCAGCCTCAATTATTATAAATACATTTGAACAACAATTTAATTCATAAGGTAAAATGATTTTATGTAGTTAAAAATAGTCTTTTTTTTAGTTCTCAAATCTATTTTATTTCACTAGGACTTTTATTTTTAGCAGCCCTTAATTGATACCAATCTTAAATAAAAAGGGAAACTGTTAGTCTGCAAAACTCGTTCCGACTTCCTTTTCTTCTATTTTTTCCCCAATTTTTTGGGTTTCTTCCTTTTTTGCGGAGTCCTTGGCCAAAAAGTCGCCGGCGACGAAGACAAACACCACTCATGTGTCGCGGGCCGGTGAAGTGGAAAGCAAACCCGTTGAAAAGACATTTCAATTTGAATAAAAAGATGCTTTCCCCATGTGTGAGGGTGGTGCAGGGTGGCTTACGGGGGCTTAGGGTGGTGCAGTAGTGCCCAGGTGTGCGGCATGCAAATGCCGAATGACAATAATGCGCATTAGCCAGAAGATTGCCCGAACAAACAGAACCGGAAATGGCAGTTGGAAACGCCTGCA